GGAACAGGTGTGGTTTGTCTGTCTTCGGACTCTTGTGACACGCTCTGCGGCGCCTGAACTTCGTCCTCTTGAGGCAAGCTGGGCTGATCGCCCTCCTCGTTGGAAGCCAAATGGTCTTTGAGGCTTTTTGAGGAAGAAGCTTGAGACTGAACAGTTTCATAATACTCCGGAATGTCATAAAGATCGTCATCGTGCTCTTCGGGCTTAATCACCACACTGCTCTGGTCATCATCGTCGTCATCGTGGTATTCGTCATCATTGTCCTCCAGGGATGGGATGGGGACGTCAGGGTCGTAATGCATATAGTGGTGAGGGCTTGATTCGATCTGCGAATCCTCCTCGAAAGAGTCGTCGACATAGCTCTCACTCTTACGAATATCTCGGAGAATAGAATCCCGGGAGATGCGCGGAGGAGAGAATACCTCCGTAGCCTCTTCATCGTGATCTTTGGCAGCCTCCTCTGGGTTTGAAATCTTGTCATCGTCCTCGAAGTCGCTGATTAGGTCGTGTTCAGTCTCTGTGTCTGGCTTGGGCGTCTGTTGATCCGCGTGGTCTGAGTCTTTGCTCTTCCGTTCGTTTTCCTGAATCATCATGAGACGTAGCCTATCCTCCAAAGACATGGATGCACGAGCACGTTCAGTAATATCCGACTTGCTGTACGTGGCAGGGCCCGGAGGAGACGGCAACACTCGCTGACCTCCACTTGCCAGCTCAAAGGCTGCAGACAGCTTTTGTGGAGACGAGCCGCGCTGGCCAAAAGACGGGCGATTGGTTGGAGGAAGCGGGGGCAAGGGACGGCGTTCGCCATTGGAGTCCAGTGACTCGACGCGAGCATGTTGGACAGGCGGACCTTGCTGAGTGGATGGCCGCGGGTCGGGGCTGTGGTTTTCGTCGTCTTCTGTAAAAGGATCTTCTTCATCTTTCACCAGATCGTCATTTGCGCTGGCGGGACTCATGTATCGCCAGTCTTCGGGCAGGACAACCGGGGTCTTTTCGAGGTCTTCCAAGGAGGCATCGAAACTGTCATCACGGTCGAGGGAGGATTCGCGATCGAAACTGATATCCCCTTCATCCTCTTCTGAATCATAGCTGCCTTCACGGGAGCCAGAAGCGATAGAGGACGGATCAGGCGTAGTCATCTCGTACTCGTGCACCTGGGGCTGAGCGGCGTCGAACGTCACGCTTTTGGCATGCCGACTTCCATCAATGTCAGACCAAATCTCACTTTCGGGGTCAAATGCATCTCTGAACCCGAAGCGGCTGGCTCGCGACAGGGAAGACTTCGCCGGGGGGACTTGGTCCTTGCTCGGAGAAGGGGGGCGGGGCCCGCTCGGGTTACTGTCGTGGGACTCTGCCTGTCGCGCGGGGGGCGCATTTGAGGCCTGCTTCTGTGGAGAGCGACTAGTGGCCAAGGGCCTCTGTGGAACATAGACATTGGTCGGATCGTACTCCTGGTTGTAATCGCGGAACATGTTGCTGTTCTTCACCCTCGAGGCGCGCTTGAGATTCTCAAGGGAGGGACGCTTGGATGGAGAGAACGAGGCGTCGGGGTCATAAGGGCTCTGGTTCTCTGAGCTCTTGGGAAAGGGAGAGCCCGACTCACGGCCCTGCCAGAAAAGACGCGGTGATGCGGGTGCTTCATACGATGATGCTTCTTGGGACTTCATCTGGAGCGACATGGTCAGGTCCAGATGTCGGAGGATTAACAATAGCACGTGGAGCGACCTACTTTGGTACTCTGATTCCAACTTGGGGAGTTTCGTCGTTGAGCCATCGGGCTTACTTCGGACAGCGGCCTTTGCGTGGTACTGCTGCCCATCTTGGTGGGAAATGCACGACAACAACTGGTGATTCAAAAGAGGCAAAAATAGCCAGTCGACAAGCGCGCCTGGAAGAAAACACAGCTGCAGGCAGCTGAATCAGCAATGGCTTCTTTCGTCACAACGCAGCAATGCAAGGTCTCTGCAATCATAGCTATCCCTTGCCGGACTGGAACGCGCCCATACCTGGTTGAGACGAATGGAGGCGAAAAAAAGTGGATGAGTCAATCGCAACGAGGTCGTTTGAAATAGTCCGAAACGAACCAGCGCAAATGAAGAACAGAACGCGGACAATAATTGAGTCGCTTGGATTAAAATTCACTCCGACGTTAAGCAGCAGCTCATGGGAATCGTAACAAGATGGGGTAAATGAGATGCGTCACAAAATGGCGATCATGCGAAAGAGAGCCGATTCGTCAGGTCTTTCTTTACTTTTGATAAGAAACTACTGCGAAAAAAAATTGGTCCGACAAACGAAGGGATGCTGATCGTAGGCAGAACAGGGCAACCGAGATGGTGAAAATGGGCGATGTGCAACAATGACGGCACGCTGGACAGGATAGACAATTGCAAGGCAAGAAGACAACCAACACACCATCCACCACCGGACCAACGAGGATGAAGTAAAAACAAGAAGACGGGGGGTTGTGAGAGTGAAGGTGACGGGAGAAGGAATAAACAGAAACACCCGAACCGACAGTGTTGACAAGTTGACTAATAAGTAGTTCGAAGCCGTTCGCAAACCGGCTGAAGCTGGGAATCGCAGCTTGACGCTGTTGACATTTTGGCGTCGGGAGTCTCCATGGCAACTTCACACCTGAGACTGCCTGAACCTGGCCTGAACTTGGCCTGAGCGCCTGTCTGGCCAGCCTCGACACCTCGACACCTCGTCGCCTGGCGGTTTCCCCGATCCCACCAGTCTGGTTTGGGATTAGCGGGGGATCGTTCCTGTGGCCCGAGCGCCTTCCCCTTACGGACTGGCACGGGACCGGCTGCTGATTCTTTTTGGATTGGAGCTCCGGGAGGCAAAAGATAAAACTAGTGGTAGAAGATTCTTGACGAGCGTTCATCACTCCCTCTCATCCACCCCCCATCCTCACCATGAATCGCCTGGGCAGACTGTCTCTGCCGCTTCGGCCTCAAGTCTGTCTGCTCTGTCAGACGCAGGTGACCATGTCCTCTCCTCTCGCCGGATGGCAGGCCGTCCGCTCCATGGCAACCGTCCGACAGCGCCGCCAGGCCGCCCGCATGGTTCTGTCCTCCAATGTCGACAAGTCTTCCCTGAAGGAGGGACGTTCGAGAAGAGACCGTGGCGGCCCCTGGTCGGGCATGAACCAAACGGAAGCGCGCCTTCGGGATGCGCCACGGTCAAGGTCTCGGGCAGCTCTCAAGCGCTCCGGGGATGCTGAAGATGATAAGCAGAAGCCGGACAGTCCTCTCTACAAGGCGCTCAAGATGCAAACGGCATTGGCGCCCATCCCATACGGTCGCCGAACCGCTATCAAGAATAAGATCGCAGAAGTCTCGAGTTTCGACCAATTTCCTCTGCTGCCGGTCGTGCGCCACTCGATCTCTTCCCAGGCTCTCCCCGGACTGGCGGACATTGTACCAACTCCCATTCAACGCCTTGCTATCCCACAACTCCTGAAAGACCCTATCCCGAAGAGAACATCGAAAGATGTTTTCAGCGATGAACCGAATTATGAACAATATCTTCTGGCTGCCGAGACCGGGTCTGGAAAGACTCTCGCCTATCTCATTCCCATGATCGACTCCCTGAAGCGTATGGAAGCGGAGGACAAGGAATTTGAAAAGCGGGAGGCGGAACAAAAGGCCAAGGAACGGGAGGAGAAGCTCAAGAACCGGGCTTTCGACATTGCCCCGGAAGAGCCTCCGTTGTCGGACGCAGGTAGACCCCGGGTCATTATCCTCGTCCCGACATCCGAGCTGGTCGCCCAGGTTGGCGCCAAAGTCAAGGCTCTTTCGCACACGGTCAAATACCGGTCGGGAATGATCTCGTCCAACCTGACCCCACGTCGTATCAAGAGCATCCTCTTCAACCCGAGCGGAATCGACGTCCTCGTCGCCACTCCCCACCTGCTTGCCTCGATCGCCAAGACGGATCCATATGTGCTGAGTCGCGTTAGCCACCTGGTGCTGGATGAGGCCGACTCGCTCATGGACCGTTCCTTCTTGCCCACAACGACCGAGATCATCGAAAAGTCGGCCTCTTCGCTTCACAAGCTCGTCCTCTGCTCCGCAACCATTCCCCGCAGTCTCGACAATATCCTCCGTAAGCGCTACCCCGACATTCGCCGACTGACGACACCAAACCTGCACGCCATCCCCCGTCGTGTCCAGCTGGGAGTGGTGGACATCCAACGGGACCCTTACCGTGGCAACCGCAACCTGGCCTGCGCCGACGTGATCTGGTCCATCGGAAAGGCAGGCGACACCGAACCGACGCACCCCTTCCTGGCCCAGGCCGGACCCAAGGTCAAGAAGATTCTGGTTTTCGTCAACGAGCGCGAAGAAGCCGATGAGGTAGCCGAGTTCCTGCGCTCAAAGGGTATCGACGCCCAGTCCTTCTCCCGCGACTCCAGCAGCCGTAAGCAGGAAGAACTGCTGGAAGAGTTCACCGAGTCCCCGATCCCTCCCACCGCAGAGGAGATCATGCTAGCCAAGAACAAGCGCCGTCAGGACAACTCCATCCCCTTTGTCTACCTGGAACAGCAGAACAAGCCGGGCATGGAGCGCGGTCTGCCGAACACTAAGGTTCTCGTGACGACAGACATTGCCTCTCGCGGAATTGACACCATCGCCGTGAAGACGGTTATTCTGTACCACGTCCCGCACAACACGATCGACTTCATCCACCGTCTCGGCCGTCTCGGCCGCATGGGCAAGCGTGGTCGTGCCGTGGTTTTGGTCGGCAAGAAGGACCGCAAGGACGTGGTCAAGGAGGTGCGCGAGGGCATGTTCCGTGGCCAGGCCTTGATTTAGGGGCAGCAACGACACCAACGACAAGCACAATCTGTACTATTATTCAACTATGGCCCAGTCAACTTACAACTGACGGAGCCTCTGACGACGGCGTTCGGAAAACGGCAACCAGGAAAGATAATATTTAGACGACATGCATTGTATGTATGCATTGACTTGCAGCATCACTCAGGATATACACGGCTGTACCTTATGTATTATAATTTGTATATTTCCCCACCACATCATCTCTCTACTTAGATTCCTCTTCGTCACCACACCTGTACACTATAAACAACACCCATCCATCATCTGAATAGACAACTACTAAACTATACTACCTACTCCCAGTAGTAAATTGAAATGAATAAAATATCAAATAGGAATCTTCCCCCCAACCGACTTCCAAAACGCACACCGATCCTTCAACTCCGTCAACCCCACATTCTCAAACCCCTCCGTAGCAATCACAAACTCCTCCCCTGACTCCTGTACCTCCGGCACGCCGGGCTCCGACGCATTCGTCAATTTATGTGCGTTGGGGTCCCCCGTCTGGAAAAAGCTAGCGAATGCGCCCGCGTAGCCGTCGTAGATTAACGGGTCGGTTTGTTGTACGCTCGAAACGGTGTCCCACTAGTCACAGTATCAGTATCAGTACCATCTCCATAGACAGCATATACTACATAAACCAGAACGAAAGACAAAAGGGAATGGACAACATACCCACTCCGTATCACTCCCATGTCTGGCCGGCGGAATCACATACTCCCCGACATACCCCTTCTCCTTCGCCGCAGAAGCAACCCAGTAAGCAGGACACGCGAGGACCACGTCCCTGTACACCAGCCCTGCGCGTACGAACGTGGTGTTATAGGATAATGTCTCTGCTGTACCTGAAACAGGGTAGTATTTCGATGAGATGAGATTTATATCGTTTGTATCAAGACCGGGAAGGAAACCCGTTAACCAGGTATGGAAGGACGCGAGGGAGGAGTTATATCCGTTCGTGGTGTCTGTGTCTTCTAGTCCCGGGGGGATGAAGTTCTCGCCTTCGTGGGCGTTGTACATGCCCCAGATGAGGTCTGTCTTTAGGGAATTGGAGGAGATAGCGGAGGTGAGGGGTTCGATGAGGAAGGATCCGTCGATGACGGGGGCCCAGGTGTAGGATGAGGTGGTGTAGGTGTTGTCTGCGTCGATGATGAGGCTTGCGTCGCGGATGGATTGGACGTCTACTTCTTTGAGACATTTGAGGGTGTCGGAGGCGGTGGTGCAGTTCGTTAGGTTTACCAGCTGGGTGTAGATGGCTTCTGCTTCTGGGGCGTTGTAGGCGTAGGTTTTTGGCCAGAAGGGAGAGCTGGCGAGGGCTTTGGAGAAGAGTTTGGGGTTTGAGCCGCGGCCGTTGGCGAGGATTTGGGCGACGACGGAGCCTCCGCCGGCGGATTGGCCCCAGATGGAGACGTTGTTGGGGTTGCCGCCGAAGTGGTGGATGTGGGAGTTGACCCATTTCAGGGCGTATTGTTGGTCGAGGAGGCCTGGGTTGAGGTCGGAGGTGGGTGAGTCTTTGATGGCTTGGCCGGGGAGGAAGCCGAAGGCGTTGACGCGGTAGTTGGTGTAGACGACGATGTAGTCGTTTAGGGTGCTGACGTTGAGGACGGGGTAGGCGTTGGGGGGCATGCCGAAGAGGGCATCGCCTTCGATGAAGCCGCCGCCGTAGAAGACGACGAGGACGGGGCGGTTGGTTGTGGTGGAGGTGGTGTCCCAGGGTCGGGAGTAGAGGCCTAGGTAGAGGCAGTCTTCGGAGCCGTTGACGGTGCGTTGAGGGCACATGTCGAAGGATTGGTCGGTGTCGTAGGTGCCATTGGTAGTGATGTTTAACGGGGGCTGAGGCGCTCGAAAGCGGTTCTCGCCTGTGGCTGGTGCTGCAAAGGGGATTTTGCGAAAGTAGGAGAGGTTGTAGGTGGCATCATAGCTGCCCTGGAAGGTGCCATAATCTAGAGTGACGAGGGGGGCGTCGTAGGCGCTGGTGAGGGAGTGTGTTAGCAGGAAGCACAGGGCTAGCAGGAGGCGTGGAAAGGCCATGGCTGCAGGTGGTGGTTGTATCTCTGGTGGACTGAGCTGGGAAGAGCTGCGCCGAGAGCAGCAGCATTTTATAGGGTATCATGGTTGTGATGGTAGAGTGAAGTCGGTATGAAGCAGACCGAAGTTCATTAAGATTCAATATCGGAGTTCCTAGAATACCTGCACGAGCATATCATGAGGACAAGAAATTCAAGGGGATCAAAGCGCCGACAGGGCTACCATTGGTGCAATTATTCTCCTCCACGATGCAGCATGACGGAGATGCGGAGATGCGGCACCAGCAATTTGCGGGGGGGAGGATGAGGAGGAAAAGATTCTTCAAGCAATGTCCGTCAGCCGACGGGTAAAAACCAGTTAATTCAAAGACCCCGGGTTGGGGATAAAGTCGTGTAAGTACAGAAGTGTACCAAGGGCCGGGAAACGAGCAGTAATCTATACAGGGTAACCAAATGCGGATCATTAGACTGGAAAAAGCCAAAGCCAGACCAGATGAATGGGAAGCAAGATCTTTCAAACGTCTCAAAAAGCCTTTCAGAATCGCCGGGCTCATGGCAACGCTCGTGCCCATCGTGATAATAACGCCTATTCTTCCAAACCGGACTCCACCGGACTCCAATTAAAAACCAAACTCCAGGATTAGTACTCCCAAAATCGATCCGTATCCATCATTACATAGTCATCCGAAGGGACCGGGTACGTCGTCGGCTGGCGCGCGTGTTGCGTCGGTCCTCGCCGGCTTCACTGTCCTCGGTCTCTGCGTGAGGCTCGGACAGCTCGGGCGTCGGGGTTATTCCAAAACTGACACCGCGGTCCTTGCGCGAGATGAGCGCTTCTTCCTCAGGGTACAAGAATCGGTGCACGGTGCGGTGGTCCATCACACGTTCCTCGTCGTCCCCAGGGCCCTCCCTGTCGGTTTTCGGCCACTGAAATCCATACAGCTTGGAGTGCCGTTCGCACCGGGGACACTCACGGCGCGTCAGGTAGGAATCTTGCTGAACAAACCATGCGTTGCATGTGCGGCAATCCACCCAGCGGTCGTATGCCTGTGCTAGAAGTTTTGAGGTTTTGGTGTAGTCGCCAGGAACCCGAGCACGGGGTGGCTCAACCTCGACTGAGGGAACCACTTCCTTGCTGCGGGATTTTCGGGACTTTTTCACCACGGTACCAAGCTTCTCGTCTAGTTCCAATGAGTCTGACAAGTCCGACAATGCATCGTTGTCTACACCCAGCATACGTCGTTCTGGCTCAGTGGAGAGATCAAGGCGTCCCTCGACAGTCAAAATTGGTGCCTGCACGGTAGTCTCGGTAATTTCCTCGACCTTGATTCGCACCGGGTTGTCACAAACGGACGTCGCGGCTGTTGAAGTTGACGAGCGGTGCGAATCGTCCAGTGAACCGGGTGAATCAGGATCGGCGGTGGTAGTGGTGGTGCTTTGCGCGGTCGATTCGGCATGGATGTCACTCTTGTTGTCGATGACGTGGTCATTGGCGGTTTCGGCTGCGGCTGCGTGTGGCACGGATAAAGCTTGGGGGGAAAGCCCGGTGTCCGCTGGCTGGACCGTGGAAGACTCGATCGAGGGTGTGAGATCAGAAAACACGACCTCGGATCTCAACTTGGAGCTCTGGCGAGTAAACTTGGTTCGTTTGCGGGGAGTCGACAAGGGAGAGCTCTCTGAATCGGTGTCGGGGACGTGCTTGCGTTTCTTGGGCGAAAGGAGAGCCTCAGAGGGCGCAGGCTCCTCGTAAGCTGGCGTGGAAGCGGGACTCTCTTGGTCGGAATCGAGCTGAGGTGCCCAGCCATTGCGGACGGCCCGTTCGCACGTCAAACAAAGACACTCGCAATTGTCAATGCCAAAGTAATCCTCTCCATAGGACACAGTGATTTCCTCGCCGATATGAATGTTGCGGATGGCGACGACTTGCATACCTTCCATGCCGCGCGTCACCAGTCGACCGTTGGCGTTGCAATCGTGATTAGCGAACCGAGCGGGACCCAGAAAGAAAGAGGGGGTTTTTCTGCGACTCGACATGACAATGCTAAAATCCTTTCTCTTCAGATCCAGATCCTGCTCCTCTTCCTTGGTCATGGGTACGAGGGTCCCGCTGAGGTACTTGATCTCCTGGCCCTGCTTAATGAATTTGCGGGCGCAGATGGCAGCCTCATGCTCGGTCACCGTGTAGCGATTGGTCGTAGTCACCTCAAAGGGGGAGTCGGGGAGATACATCTGGATGTATTTGCGGAGATGGCGGCGAAACCATTCTTTCTCCCGGTCAGTAGGCAGCTTAGCCAGGTACTTTTTGAGACCTGGCATGCTCAACAGCTTCTCTTCCGCTTTGGCAGCATCCTTGTTGACAATGACATCGTGAAGAAGAGTGCTAGCCACATCATCATCTCTAATGCCGCGGGCGGGGTTGTATTTGGTGCGATTTTTGCGAGTGTTGGTCCAAAAGTACGCCTGCGAGGATAGTATAGTCAGCGACCAGCTACATGACGGTCAATCGAGGGTCATAAACGTACACGGTCAACCAGCGCATCTGTTGCGACGTCGTCGTAGCTGGCCAGTTTCGCGAGCGTAAGCCGATCCCGACGGTCATCGGAGGGGCTGGATTTTGCCTTGGAGACCGGCATCGTAAAAGTTCGATCCAGACGATCCCATGCAAGAAGATTTGAGCGGATGATAAGAGTGTGGGTGGAATTAATGGTAGGAATGAGGCGTCAAAGCGTCAAGGGGAAGAAACAGCGGAAGATCGGGAAGCAGAGAAGACGAGACTACTAGAAATATATATGGGCGCCAAACAGTTTTGGGGGGTGGGAAAGGAAAGAAGCGGGATTGAGAAGGAAAATTTTAGGGAACGACGTGAATACGAAGAGGAGTGACTGGCATGATGAACAAAGGAAACGAAGGAGAGGCAGTGAAAGTTAGCGCGCATGAAAGGACAAACTCGCAGATTGACATGATAGTAATAATTAATGTGAAGGCTGGCGCTGGTCGCTGCTGCAGTGTCCCCGTCCGGGGTCGGTCGTCGGCGAAACCTGCCGGCCCGCCAAACTGCCTGGCGCTGCTTTTCTTTCGACCATCCCATCTCTCTATACTCCCCTCACTCCCCCGACGTTCTTTCCACCTCCGGACAGGGTACACAGTCAAGATGATTCAATTAAAGGTGTGTGAGCGACTCTACTGGTGTTCGTGATGGGGGAGAGGAATTTTTTTCGCGGACTGACCAACCCCCGATCCAGACAATGCTCAACTGCATCGACAACTCCGGCGCCGCCGTTGTCGAGTGCGTGAATGTCCTGAAAAAGAAGCGCCCCGCCACTGTTGGTACGATACTTTCGCCGTTTCCAATTCACTATCAAAGGGTTTACGCTGATGCTGGGGTTCCGGGATGAACAGGTGACCGCATCGTGGTCGTGGTCCAGAAGCAACGAAATTTCGGCCCCGACAGCAGCAACAACGTCGGTATCGCAAACAAGGTTCGCCGAGGAGACATTCGCCATGCCGTCGTCGTCCGCGCGGCCAAGGAAATGCAGCGCCCGGATGGTTCGATCGTCAAGTTCGATGACAATGCCTGTGTTCTCGTCAACAAGTCCGGAGACCCCATCGGAACAAGAATGAACGGTCAGTCTAGCCGACCACGGCGGAACCCGATCGAGACGGTATTAGAGAAATTGCTTTACTGACATATACTAGGTGTCGTGGCTACGGAACTACGAGGACGACAGTGGTCGAAGATCCTGTCGTTGGCGCCGATGCATGTGTAGGATATACCTTTTATTTGGAAGCGAATTGTTCTTATATTTATCCCGTTTGTAGCAATAGAAATTTCTTTCTCTTTTCAAACTCCCCTTTTCTTTGCCCAAACATCGCCAGAACTCCACAAAAATGCTGCTTAACGGAACAAAAACCAAGATCGGGTATCAGGTACATGACATGTAGTATGGCAAATCGAGAATTAGACGAAAACATTGCCGCAAGCGCAACAGACGTAGTAAAGTTTCTGGAAAGTAAGCGTCAGCCGATACCTTCATGGATGCGGTGTGAGCCGGCATGAAGGCTTACCATTCCCGTTTCAGCAGAACGCTGTTGCGACTGGAAGAAGACTGCATCGGCTTCGCCGCAGCTCGGGCAGAGCTTGTTGGAACGAGGAAGCTAAGGAAAGAGTGGGTTAGCCACGGAAATTTCAAGACAACTTGGAATGTATCCATGACGCGAGCGCGGCGCATGCTGGACCTCATGACGACGAAAAGCCATCATAATCCTCTTCGGACCAGGAGTCCTCGGAGGATGTGTCACAGACGAAGCAGGTAATCTCCTCCCCACAATGATCACAGAAACCCGGGAGACAAACCGTAGGATCAGATCCCACATCCTGGGTCACACCAGCGGTATCTCCGACTTGAGTGCTGAGCTTGTTTTGGTAGACGCAGTAGGAGGTTGCGGGCTCGCCGACATGGCAGGTTCGGCAGGTGAACATCAACCGGTTGTTGATGCGGTCTTCCTTCGGGTAGAGCAAGTTGGAACTGTATACGTTAGCAAAAGGTTCAAAAAGAACGAAGAGATCAGATCTTACCATTCGCGACAGAATTTAAAGTGAATTTGATCGGTGGGCTTGCTATCGCCACCGGCAGAGGGGGATGGGCTGGCAGACATTTTCGGAGGTTGTATTACTGATGGAGTGTGCCGGAAAGAAAAGAATTCACGCGTATCGATATGTAGCGAGTGTGTTGTATCCGGTTGTAAGCTTTCGCTTGAAACAGATAGAAACGAAAGACACGAAGAGTGGCTGATAGGAATCGTGAGATGGCCGGGGGGATCGTCAATGGAAGTCGGAAGAAGCGTTGAACCAAGCACCACCGGCTAGTTCCATGACTTGCAGCTCACCGCCCCGTCAATGTTTGCAGTGTTTGCAGCCATCCCTCCCCCGCAGTTTGTCCCGCAGCTGCAAGTACCAGCAAAGCCTCTCCGACTCCTGCAACTTTATATAACTCCACTAGTCCCCCCGCGTCATTTCTGGATCCTTGTCTTCCTTTGTGAAGCTATAGACTCCTCCGCAGATTTTAGATATACACACATCCTTTTCCACAACATGGTATGCTGATACTCAATCCTATCATAGAAGATCATGTTTACCAAATTTGGTATCTGTGCTGACTGTAAACACTACAGGTAGAGACAGGTCTTCCGGCAGGTTGGGAGGTTCGCCACTCCAACTCTAAGAACCTTCCCTACTACTTCAACCCTATGACGAAAGAGTCTCGCTGGGAGCCGCCGGCCGACACAGATACGGAGAAGCTCAAGTTCTATATGGCCAACTACCACAGCGGACCCGCAGGACGCTCTGATGGAAACGGTCACAATGAGGGCAAGATCCGCTGCAGCCATCTTCTCGTTAAGCACAGGGACAGTAGGCGTCCCAGCAGCTGGAGGGAAGCTGAAATTACCCGTTCGAAGGAGGAGGCTATCGAGATCCTCCGGAGCCACGAGGCGCGCATCAATGCGGGAGAAGCCAGTCTGGGTGACATTGCTGTATCGGAGTCCGACTGCAGCAGTGCTAGGAAACGTGGAGATTTGTACGTATTTATGATACCACTTCAGGTACTGAACTAATCTATGTTAGGGGCTTCTTTGGACGGAATGAGATGCAGAAAGAGTTTGAGGACGCCGCCTTTGCACTCCAGCCTGGTCAGGTCAGTGGGATCGTGGAGACGGCCTCTGGCGTCCATTTGATTGAACGGTACGTAATTTGAGTGCGATTAAAAGATTTGCATTGTTGATCAGCACCTGCTAACGTATTGGATATTGCAGGGTTCAGTAAAATTCTATGAATGACATATATACTACGTGTATTTACTTGGAAGAGATCTCTATATCTTCTTACATGAGTTCCTCTTCGCAATTTGTCACTCAACGTAGATATGTAGTCTTGATCAATTTATGCAACGTATCTTTGAGTCGTATGTCAAGCGCTGCAAAGGACTGTATGGTGCAGACTGTTGCGACTGACTTGGATTGGAACAATGAAAGTGTGACTTGCATATGAGAGGCGCCTTATAACAATGGCCCAAAGAACTTGATCTTTGACTCGGTTTGTTCAACCTGCAGTGCTTGCCCCCTGCTATTGAATGTGGTATCATAATGATTTCGTGCTGACCTTCGTCCTACTGTATAGCGTACCGGCCGTGATCTATCTACGACTATACAACTAGATTATACTCTACATCTGAATCTTTCTAAACTAGCTTTATCCGTCAGAAAGCACAACCCTAATAATCAATCAGATCAAGTCGACAATCTACTCTACGTCGTCAGCACAAGACCGGAGTGCAGGGCTAATGTACCCCCGGATCCTGTCCTACTTGTCTGCTGAGGTGACACCGATAGCTATTACTCCTATTTGTCAAACCATCAGATTTGTCAAAGCTTCTCATCGATCACACTAACTTGGGATATCATTATTTACAGCTACGTTGCTTCTCCTTCTATCTTTACTATCCCGACTATCGACCTGATGCTAGCAAATATGGATCAAGGAAAGATGAAGCAATGGAAAGCTGGAAGTCCATTCCATTCACATTTAGAATTTTCCATCCTTGTCCGACTAGCCTGCCGGACTAGGCAGATGGAGGCGGTGATGGGGGAGCTTCCGCGAGAGCTTCAGCTCTCTCCGTCGCCCTGCACAAGTGCAGTCCGGTCCTCTTGCGTGCCTCCATCTGACGACCTTCCATCTGTCATCGCTCAGCCGCCTCAGATTCCATCCCAGAAAGAGAGTACTCAACAAATATGTCCTCGCCAGCGCCTGGGTCTACCAAATTCCCCTTCTCACCGCTGCCTGATTCCGTCGACGCCTACATGGCTGAGCAGGGCATGCTGTCGGTCTCAGAAGAACATATCAACAACGTCCTGACTCAGTCTGGCATAAGAGCTGAATGCATCTACCTTCCTCCGCACCTTTCTAGATTCTTTCCCGCGAGGTTCATCTACATCCTATCACAATTTCGCTTCGAGGCCTACCGAGCCAGTATGATCATGCGGATCTGTAACTTCTGGTACCTAAGGAGGTACGAGTACCTGCACCCTGACGAAGACTCTTCAATTCTTCAACGGTATATTCAATCTGTCCAGCTCCTCCTTGGGTGGGACAAGGACAACAAGCCTGTCAAAGACCAGCCTATTGCGGTGGCGGACCAGAAAATCCCTGAAAGTTCGATCACGTTGGGCTCGCACCGGCGCATATACACAGCCTACAAGGAATTTTATGATGATTTGGTGTGGAATTCTCGTTGTGGAGTCTACTACGCCAGATTTTTTGTCTACCTCCAGCTGGCGACCAAAAATTTCGATTCCCATTTACCGTCGGATGTCCTTCCGGCGTTCAATGCCTGGAAGCAGGGGGACTTTCATACGGAGATCCTAAAGTTGGTTCCTTTGTCGCGGTCCGTCCCTTATTCTCCTCTATACGAGGTCGCTATGGATGAGCTGGCCACGGCCATCACGCAAAAAGTCGAAGGTGGTGAGGCAATTGCACGAACTTGGAAAGCCTTCGCAACAGGTCCGCATAGCTACTAGCTCTTCCATCTTGAACAAGCTGCATGAAGTACGGTGTTAAATGAGGCTATGGATTTCTTGGTTGTTCATATTTGGGGCTACGAGTGTCATGACTGATGTAGGAATGAGGACATGCATAAACAGCTTGGGAAATTGCTTTTGTTGGATATTTCGGCTATTTCTTTATTCAAGTGTGGACATATCCATACATTGCTTGGGATCAAAAATATAAATCGCTTTGACAATACATTCACTGTAGTGCTGTCTGGTTTTAGTCGGAAACACCCAGACACTTGCCCGTTATAATTTGACAGTTCCCATACCGACGCTGCCAAACGACATTACCTGCCGTTCATACCATACCTCATAACTAGAGAGGGACGAGACTTCCTTCGCTCTTTAACTTTCTTTGAATACAATACTTAAATCACTGATCATCTCCTTCTCAGATCACTCAGATTTATCCATGTGATTCGATTCACTACTACTGTCGATTCTTCACGTGAGCATCAAACCCTACTAGGATTATCCTATCCTGAGAAGAGGTAAGTACCATCCATCGACAATACTCTCATAAGAATATCTATATATCTCTGGCACCTTGATTTTGTTTTCTATCACTATACTCTAAATCAATGTCATGCAACATTCCTTCCATCTCACCCAACAGACAACACACACATCCACCCACCACACCCAGATATATATCCACCCCTCGACCTCATCCAACCCAACCCAACATCCACAATCACACATCATTGCAGATCCTACCCATACTAACCACTCTCAAAACTAGCAACTCACACCCAGACAACCAAAACTAACCCCCCAAACCAGAAAAAAAATGTGCCTAACCCTAACAACCAAACACCCCCTCTGCGGCTGCCTCACCACCACAACATTCACTCCCTGCCGTCTCATCCCCTGGAACCGGTGTATCCGGCGCGAGATGATAATTGTCGAGGGAACGCGTCGACGGAATAATCTCCTCTGCGAAGCTTGCAGCGACAGCAGCAGCAGTAGATATTCCGAACGGAGAATGAACAGACTATACACTCTGATGGCATGTCTTGAGGGATTTGATTCGGACGTTGAGTTTGATTGTTTGGATGTAGATGATGAACAGCATGGTCATGATGATGGTGTTCAGGACGTCGGGGTGGGAGGGCATGGTGGGTATTATTCGGGGGATGGTGGTGGTGATGGTGGGAGTGACAGTGTCGGGAGTGATGAGGGTTGGCATGGAGATGCAGAGGGAGAAGAAGGAGTAGAAGGGGATGAGGAGGAAGAATATATAGAAGAGTCCTCCTCCTCCTCCTCAGAGGAAGAACTGGTGGTGCTTCGGTGTGACCTGAGTAGAGTTTGTGATTCGATTGCTTCGTCGCGCGTTTGTCATGGCACTGGGGTGATGGGGAGGGAGAAAAGACAATTTGGGAGAGGGAGGGTACGGGGGCCTAAGAGGAGGGATACGGCTGATGAGGAGGATATGGAGATGGATATGGCGATGGCGAGGGCGAGGGTGGAGGATGAGAGGGTTTCTTCTATTTCTACGGTCTCATCGATATGATGTGTGTCCAGGATGTGGGTGAGGATTGACCGTGATTGCATTCGTAGTATTCCTAGTCAAGACAAAACAAGCCATTTCATACATGCTTCTACTACTGGAGTATTCATTATAATGCTGTGTTGAGCCGTTCGAGACGCGATGTGATGTTGTCGATGATGGCCGATCTAGAGTATCTCGTTAGTATATGACCCCAAAAACATAAAGAATGAAGCAGACGTACTCTCGTTCCACCATCAGCATAGCATCCGCAACCTTTTGCTTTTGTAGTCGCGCTGAAACCGAAACGCGAGGTTGAGCACCACCTGGCGACGCTGGACTGCCCGGGTCAGCGGCGATGGGCGACTTGACTGCGAGAGTCTTGGCCTCGCTGAGGAGATCGCCGGCAATCTCCTTCACCTATACAGTTGTTAGTATCATGCTTGATAGACATACTGGAATGAACTTACAGCAGCGAGCCGTTGTGTCAGGTCACCCTCGCCCTCTGTCCGATCAACTGACTCCGACAACGTCTCAACTTCAGTAACCCACGACTTCTCCTTATCGCTGAGTGGACGGCCACCGGATTTCAGGACCTTGTTGCGCAACGCTTCGTAGCGTTGCACCAGCTGTGCCTGCTTGTCCTTCGCTGCCTGCAGTCGCTGGTCGAGTGCTTCTCCGTTGCGGGACCCCTCCATCCGTTTGCCATCCTCGCCAATTTCGCTGGACACACCCTTGACTCGGTCAGCGACGTCGGCGAGCTGTTTCAGCTGATCACGCATTTCGCCTTGCAAACGCTCGCAGCGGCGGAAGAGGTCAGAGGCGGCGCGCTCGAGGGCGTTGGTGTGGGCGGACAGGATGCGGTGCGCAGCAGCTACCAGGTCCAGCGTAGCAGGGGACAGCCGAACCTGTTCCTTCAAGGCCTGGCGTTGACGATGCGGGACGTGTTTGTCGATGAAGAACTCCAGAGGGGCTTCCGCGTAGAAGATGGCGGGGACTTGGTATGGAGGCCGACGAGGGGGCAGGATGGGCGAGCCCGGAACTTGTTCCTCCGGGTCGAAGATGTGGAGATCGGCAATGGAGGGAAGAACCTCTGGTGCGTCCAAGATGGCAGCGTGAGGAGTGGAGGAGTGAGATGTGAGTAGCAAGTAGCCCAGGTCGTAATCGTAGTACACCAATGAGGCTGGTAGGTGGCCCGTCAGGCCTTTGGCGCCTGCGGCATTTCCATCAACCTCGAGAATCCGCTCTCTCAAGGACGCAGTGCCTTCGCAAAGGACCTGCAGGCGGAAAGAGCTGCCGGCGGTGTCCTCTGACTGCAGCTCAGCCTCGAGTCGCTGAACCCAGGAAGTGAGAGAGATATAGGTGACGTTGTTGGTGTTCGTCACGAAGAAGCTGTACCGCGAGTAGGCATCCTTTGTGAAAGTAGGCCAGTTGTTGGACGAGTCGCGCTCCTCTCTAATCGTGTCCAAGGATTCCACGAGCAGGAGATCGGATGGCTCGGAGACAGGCGTGCTGAAGACGTTCTTCTTCGCCTTAGGGAGCCACTGTCCTTCAACACCATCGAGCTCGAGACAGACATGAATCCTACCGCTTCCAGTCGAAAGGCAGATGACTGTGGCAGACAGACGGTCATCTCCGCTCTCTTCCAGAGCGCGCACCTCCTCGCCCATCATGAGTGCATCGAGATCGACCTTGGCACCGATGACCAGGATATCGCAGAGGTCCAGGTCATCAATTTCATCTCCCGTATCGAATCGGAATGGGCCCTGTAACCTGGGGATCGCGCTGGGATTGGCTGGGCGCGTGAGGACGTCCGAACCAGAGCCTGTCTCCGAGTCAAACTCCGTATGGAGAGGGTCCTGGTTATCAATTTCGGCCAGCCAGTCGTATTGCTGCCGGCAGGCAGTCAGGTCATCCTCATACTCCGCAGGATCCTCCTCCAAAGAAGCCAGTTTCGGAACAATAGCCGCAGTCAACGAAGGGATGGTAGTTGACGGCGCGCGCCACTTGGAGGGCAACAACGGACACAGAGCGTAGAGGTCGCCTGGTCTCATTGCAACCCACAGAGTCATGGGTGCCCATGCGTCCTCGCGTTCATTTCCGCTGCCACCAAAGCAAGCAGACGCAACTTCCATGTCGATAAAGTCAGCCGAGAATCCCTTGTTCTTCCCGAATCCCGACGGCGCAAAGTCCTGGTCCGATGAGGTTCCGTCCACCAGCTTCCTCAGGTCGACAGCCAGAGTCGGACGGTCAAATGACCAGTGGTTGTTCCGATCCAATTCCCACACTCGGACTGCAGCATCAGCCGTGATAGTCACGAAACAGCCCCCGAGGTTGGTGTGTACGCCCAATGGATGCCATAGCGCTGACACCACAGGCGATTCGGGAATGACGTGGGTGGTCGGACCAAGCTGGTAAGATTTCACGCGGATGGGAGAGCTGTCTGTTCCAGACAGATGGGAAGGATCAGGCAGCACGGCGATGAAGACGGTGCGATCGGCAACAATGGCTAGGAATGCGCCATTTGGCGAGGGGATTAATTGACGGATTTTCTCGAAGACAGGAACATTCAGAACCTATACGGCATTTATTTAGCTTCAGACCAACAATAAATCACTGTTGATCCTTGTCCTACCCTGTACTGCACAGTGCGATCCTCAGACTGCTGCTTGTCATTCGACCTGGAGTTATGCTGCCATTCATCCTTCAGTCTGGTCAGGCTGGACCAGCGAATCTGGTTATCGACGACGGTAAACAGCTCATTCCCCCGCTTCGCCTGAATGCGCGTAGGTCCGGAATAGACAACCTCTTTCGTTCCGGGTGTAGGTTCTGGTGATTTGGAGCCGGAGCTGGCAAAGATGGAGGCACCCGGCGCCGGGCGCGAGAGCCACGGCGGAGTGTAGCTGATGACTTTCGGCATGGTCGAAGGGGGATTCTTTTATGGCAAACAAGTTGAGATTGACAAGCCTTACAATCTCATCCTGCGCTTGAAGCCAAATGCGAGAGAGGAGGAAAGAAGCCGAAAGTACGACGGAGAGGAAAGGCAATAAACAGCTCCCGTCGGGGAAATTTTGGGCGGAAGCTGAAGCTGGATTGAAGAAGGGCGGCGCGCCAAGAAGCAAGACTCCCGTTGGTTGTTGCTTCAGCTTCCCGACCTGTTCGGATCTTCTTTGCAGACTCACTTCCTCTCGCTGTTTCGTGAACTCCGCTCACATAGCTTCTCGGCGTTCATTGTCAATTCCTTTCTCAATTCTTGCTTGCCCAACGCCGAGCATCATGAGCACACTCGTTCACAACACTGTCGAACGCCTCGACCGGCCGAGTGCCTACTACCTGGGCAAGGTGAGCTTCGTCTCCAAGGCTACCGAACCACTACAATACTAATTGGTGAACTCTCTTCAGAACAAGCGTCGCAAGTTCAGTCACGATGAGGTCGAAAAGCCTGAAGATGCCGTCGACAACCTAAAGGATGCCACCACTCTCTACGTCGGTAACCTGTATGTTGTGGAATGATCGCCTCTTCTAAGTCTATGCTAACAGCACAGTTCTTTCTACACCACCGAAGAGCAGATCCACGAACTATTTGCCAAGTGAGCGGAAGCCACCGAATGCGCTACCTACGAGTAACGAGCTGACCGAGTACAGGTGCGGCGAGATTAAGCGGCTAGTCATGGGTCTGGATCGGTACAACAAGACCCCCTGCGGATTTTGCTTCGTCGAGTACTACACCCACCAGGATGCGCTGGACTGTTTGAAATACATTGGTGGCACAAAGCTGGATGAGAGAATTATTCGGACGGATCTGGATCCTGGCTTCGAGGAGGGTCGACAATACGGGTATGTATATGATCGGGATAATCAAAGGTGCAGGCTGCTGACGTTGGTAGACGTGGTAAATCGGGTGGTCAGGTCCGCGACGAGTACCGCGAGGAATACGACCCAGGCCGTGGTGGCTATGGACGTGCCTATGCGGATGACCAGCGACGACGGGAGGAAGAGGAGTACGGCAAGGGTAAGTAAAGGGGGAAGACAGACATGTTCAGGTTGGCGCAAAAACGGCGTTTTCATATGTACACTCTATTTCTATCATTGCTAGAAAGGCATTCAAGAAAGAAGAAAATTTTACATCCGATACCCAACGCTATGCATCATCAGCCATGATGTTGCCCTTTATGTGTGATGCGCGGCATGTCTTTTCTTCACTGATTCCTCGACCTGGCGCAACCACCACGCGTGGATGCGGGCGTCGTCAGTCAGCTCCGGGTGGAAGCTTGTTCCAAAGACGTTCCCTTGGCGGACAGCGATAATATCTCCCGTCTCGTCATCGGCGTTGATGGGCGTCCCCTGGCAGGCCAATCTGGCAGCCCGTCCGGGCAGAGCTGCCAAAACCTCCACACTATCTGCCATGGCCTGACGAGCGACCTCGTCTTCCGCCTGGCGCGCCGGCGCAATGACGGTTTCTTCACGCTGAGCCTCAGCCACTTGTTCGCCCTCTTGGTGAGGGAGAATTTTCTCCACGACGGGGGCGCGGATAAAGACGGCGGGGAAGGCGGGCTGATTAGCGCCCAGGAAGGGCAGGTCGAGAGGGGCCTGGAAACTCTCCGTCTGTCGGCCGAAATGGTTGCGATTGACACGCACGTCCAACCCACCGATCAGATCCTGACCACCTTTCTTTGTGCGGTTGGCCGACTCCGCGAGGAGAATCAGACCGGCGCAGGTACCCCAAGTAGGCCTCCGGTGGACCCTGGATGCCAATTAGCATAAAACGTACAGCAACTATGCAGAACACCGATTAAACGTACTTGACAAAGTCTCGCAAAGGCTCCAAGAGGTTAGACCTAGCGGCAACAAGGGCCATGGTTGTGCTTTCGCCTCCGGGCAGCACCAGCGCATCGCATCGCTCGAGTTCCTGCGGGGTGCGCACTTCGATAAAGTCCCATTGCGAGGCGGAACTGCGGTCTTTGGCGGGCAAATCGGCAGCCGCACTCTTCAGCAACTGGATATGTTCGTAGAAGGCGCCTTGCAAGGCGAGCACGCCGACGGTGATGCAGCCCATGGCGAAGTATAGAATCTGAGTCAGTGGCGGTAACAATAGAACTATGACTCCAAACTCTCTTTCTATACTTTATTTGATGGGAGCAACGCCGCCTTATGTCAGCGGATCAATGTCGGACCGCTTATCACCACGTGCTGCCCCGCGTTCAGCCTGACATTGGGGATGTTGACATTCTAGATTTATCGCCTTCATTACTTTGCTGTGACAATAAACTGGTCGTGGACCATTGTGTAGGGCGCTGAGGCTTATAATTGGTGTATTTGAGTCTCGGAATGCATCAATGACCCTCGTTGAAAACCAACCCAACCCCTCATCTCACCTCCGCATAGACGCCCGATCTCCTCACATCAGCTAGATACACCACTACATCTTACATCTCACATCTCACTCCATTGAACACCACCACACCAACCCACCCAAAATGACCACTCCATCCGACCCCAATCCCACCCTCGTCCGGTGGTACATCGACACCCGGCCCCTAACCAGCACCTCTCCGGCCCTCCCCCTCCTCGAGACCCTCCAACCCACCGAACAACAAGCCATCCAGAAATACTACCACCTCAAGGACCGCCACATGTCCCTTGCCTCCAACCTGCTGAAATACCTCTTCATCCACCGCACCTGCCGCATCCCCTGGTCTCAAATCACCATCAGCCGGACCCCAGCCCCGCACCACCGACCCTGCTTCATCCCATCTGCAGCAGTCACCACTTCAATCCCAAAAGTCGAATTCAACGTCAGCCACCAAGACTCAATGGTCGCCCTAGCCGGCACCACCATCCCACCCAATTCCCCAAAGGAAGAAATCCAAGTCGGAATCGACATCACCAGCACAACAGAACACTTACGCTCCCCGCGGAACCCGTCCCCGCCTACCCGCTCCGCATTCCTGGAGTATGTGTCTATCTTCACGGAGATATTCTCTGCGAGGGAACTAGGGCTGATAAAGTCCCTGACGCATCCTGTTCACGGGTACTCGGTGTCGTCGACGGAAGGAGTGGTTTATAGTTATCGGGTTTTCTTTGCGTATTGGGCGCTGAAGGAAGCGTATATTAAAATGACGGGGGAGGCGTTGTTGGCGGAGTGGTTGAGGGAGTTGGAGTTTTTGGACGTGAGGGTTCCTGATACGGATGGGGAGGTGTATCGCGGGGTTAGGGTGTTGATGAAGGGGAGGGAGGTGGAGGAGGTGAGGGTGGAGGTGCAGGCGTTTGAGGGGGGGTATTTGGTTGCGACGGCTGCTAGGGGGGGTAGGGTTGGGAGGGTGGATGATGGTACCGGGAGGGATGGGAATGGGGATGTGTGGGAGGGGTTGAGGAGGTTGGATGTTGAGGGGGATGTGAGGGAGTGTGCGGAGGGGAGGTGTGCTTGTTTGGTATGATGGTATCTTATCTACGATCTATGGGTGTTGTGGTGACGGTCTAAAAAGCATTAAGAATATGCTCTATATACACTCTAGGAAAGAAACCCATGGGCCGCGTCATGCAATGGAAGGCCAGGCAAACTCCAAGACGAGGTCTTTACTTTACCCCCCGCTGCAGCTTCCTTTCTACTGGATCTATGCCCCTCCAGTCTGCTCTCCCGCCCCGTCAGCAGTTTTTGTTGCTACCCTAACCAGTCGGGGTATCCACACACACACTCCCTCTCTGTCTCGCCAATTCAAGCATTACTCGTGTCGTGTAATCATAGATGACGGGAATAACAATAGTCAGCCTGAAAAGGTTGATCTCTTTGTTCTCCCTACAGCTCCACAGCAGTGGACTTGCCGTTCGCGGCAACCGTCGAATCCACCTCCTGCTTGTCCTTGTCGGCCAACTCGAGCAGGGTCTTGAGCATGGACTCGCGCGTGGACTTGGTCAAAGCGTCGATGTCGGCGGTCGTGAGACCTTCCGTGCTGATGGGGGGGAGGACTATATGCAGTTAGCAAGCATTCTATAAACTCACTTTCAACGTGGAAGGAGGATTGAAGATTACCCTTGATCTTGATCGAGCCTGGCTCGAACCTCATCTTCCGGGGAGACAGCACATGCGAGTAATTCTCCGTAACCACCGGCACAATGGGCACACCCGCCTTCAGCGCAAGATGGAACGCGCCCTTCTTGAACGGCAACAATTCCGGGGTATCAGAGTAGCTGCGCGTGCCCTCGGCGAAGATGAAGACACTCTGGCGGTGGGTGCGCATCTCATCGGCAGCACTATCAAAGGCCTTGACGGCCGTTTGGCGGTTGGCACGATCAATGAAGACGGTGCGAGAGAGGGACATGAACCAGCCGAGGAAGGGAATATACTTGAGGGACTTCTTGGCCGTGACACTGCAGTACGGAGGGAAGATGTAGCCGAGCATGAGCACGTCCAGTTCGGACTGGTGGTTTGCGATGAACACGGCGGGTCGGGTGTTCAGGTGCTCGGCGCCTTCGATGATGTTGAAAGTCACGCCGGTGGTGTAGCGCATGACCCACTTGAAACTGCGCGCGGTGGCATATTGCGAGATGCGGCCGTAGCCGGCGATACGGAGTACGATTGAGGCGACGACGCCGTAGGTGGCGCAGAGGAGGAGGGAGCCATAGGCGGCGAGACACCGGGCGACGAAGGCGGCGCGGGGAACTTTCTGGCCGAGGGCGAAGAGGGAGAGCGTGAAGACGACGAAAGAGCTGATGCCCGAGGCGACGTAGGAGAAGAGGGACATGGTCGTCGTGGTGGGGAGGGGGTTTTCAAGTGGGGGTAAGAGAACCGGCTGATCTGCATCAGGAACGGGTTAGACGGGGGCTTTATAGCCAGAAGCCTAAGGGTGGGCTCGGGGCAAAGCGAACCTGGGGTTCTCTGGGGTATGCGGACTTTGGGGATGACGAGGTCAGGCGAGAGGGCCGCAAAGACGGTGCATGACCCGGCGGTAGGGGTGGCGGGAAGAAGGGGAGGAGGAAGCGGAGGTGGACTAGGAAGAGGGATGTCGGGGAGGAAGAGAAGGAGAGTGAGAAGAAGATTGAGAGAAACCTTGAATTTAGGGGAACAGAGAGGGAGATCTTCGCGGCATCCAATGAATCTCAAACTCTCGTCTTTCGGTCTCAACGGATTTGGATGGATTTCCACCGATTTCCGCCGTCTCACCGCCTACTTCACCGCCCAACATCCCGGTATAGTACTCAACAGCGAGTCAAGTGATCTAGTATCATTGCTCTACAAGTATGAAGACAAGTGGGTATCAAAGTGCTAATAATAGCTCGATTATGCAGCCGCTCGGACAACAGTCTTCCAAGAAGATATGTTCAGCTCCGTCGTCCGGCCTCGTCCTTCCCAGCCTCCCACGCTAACATACAGAATCCAATCCAGATGCCTCGACCCTCGCGAGGTCTGGATGCTCGCAATGCCAGTTCTAACCAACCCACCGGCGAACGCCCTCGTAATGCTGATGCTGGTGCAAATTCAACCCAGAAAGAGAGAAAGAGAAAAGACAAACGCCGCTCCTCGCCAATATGGATTCCAGGGTACAGATGGGTTCATGGACAACAGGAACCCGTCGAAGAAGTACACAGGGGAAGCAGGAAGAATAGTAAGAACAAGGGAGAAAGAAAATCATGCCATATCTTCGTCATCCTCTTCATCATCATCCAGGGATTCCATGGCATCTTTGATGTATTGCGCCGCCTGAAGCAGTTAGCCGGTGTATTTGAGTTTAGCGGGGGATAGTGAGGGATCAACGCTTACCTTGGGATCCAGATTCAGAGCGGTCGTGAAATGCTTGATAGCATTCGCCTTCTCATGCAACATCTTGTAGAGTTTACCCAACAGATAATGCACGTTGGCCTCATCCGGTGCCATATCCTTTAGCACCTTCAATTCGGTCAGCGCCAACTTGAGCTCAGAAAGCTTCATCAGCACGCGAGCCTTGCGGAACCGAGCAAGAACCGAGTGAGGCGCCAATTGACAGGCCCGCCCATACTGGGCGAGAGCCCCGCGGGGGTTGTTCATCTTCTCCAATACCAGTCCGATGCAGCAGATGAGCACTGCGTTCGTAGGATTGATGTTGGCCGCATTGCGGAAATGTTGTTCAGCAAACTCGAGCTTGCCCATCTTGTCGTATACCGTACCCAATCCATACCAGGCATTATAATGACGACTGTCAGCGCTGATGCCGTGTCGATACGCATCGAGAGCCTTGTCGTATTCTTCGTTGGCCACATATTCATGTCCTTGCAAAGTGAACCCGTACGCGAAATGAGGATCAAGTTGCGTGGCTCGCTTGAAGCACTTCAGAGCCTGGTCATGATCCCGCTGGTGGGAGAATGAGTTGCCAACGGCGCACCAGGCCTGAGGAGAGAGACGGTCGGTTTCCATGAGCTCGTGCGCCAGATAAGCCAGCTCGACATCATTCTTCAGATGCCAGAGCACCGTTGAGTAGATTTCCATATCCTCCAACCGGGACGGAGCCATACTCTTTACACGGACAAAGTATTTCTCGGCTTCGGAATACATCGCCTGCTCGTAGTACGCTCGACCTATTTGGGAGAGTACCCATGGAGTCTCCCGCTGGCCTTGAGACAGAGCCGCGAATATCTGGGTAGCTTCAGCGCAACGATAGCGACACAACGCAAAGTATCCGGACGCCAACTTCGAGAACAGCTCTAATAACCATGTCAATGCCTCCACAGCTTTAGACCGATCAAGCGAAGGTCCTCTCGATGAAGTGTGGTGCGTCCCATTCGATGCCGAGGTGGCTGGCCGGTGGTCCTTGGCCTCGCCATCATGCGTGTCACCGATGTGTTTTCGATTGCCACTCACGACCCGACCCACACTAGGAGCGGTTGTAGTTCGACCCTTCGCACCAGTAGCCCTGACCTTCTTCATTTCTCGACCATCCTTGGTCCCCAGCGCAGTACTAGAAAGCTTGCTCGTAGTAGGCTTAATCTGATTGAAAAGGCGGACGCTCCGCCGTTGCGGCGCGCCAGGTTCGGTGGGTTGCTGTGCGGAATGAGCAACTGATCCAGAGACAGTTCGCTTGCGGTCGCCCACACGGACTCCGTGTGAGAGCTCTCGCTCCGTATAGGTTGTAGTCGACTCATCGGGCTCGGGCTTAGTTCTGGTCCGGGGTCGTATACCCGTGGGCTTCATCTTTGGTGGGGAGTCCATGCCGTGATCGGCACTGATCGTTTGTATTGTTCGGTTCTTCCGTGCAGGTGCCAAGGGCGGCTCCAAAGGTGCGTCTGTCCGGTGCAAGACACGGTCGTCCGACTCACTGCTTTGGCCTCCAGGTGTTTCGGTCCCTTCTCGAATTGCCGGAACTGCTGATGTACCCGTGGATGCCACGCTGACCGTGCTGCCATTTAGCTTCTCCCAGAGAGCGGAGCTGCCATGCGTGCCAACTGCCTCAGTCCGAGACGTCAAAGAAGTAAAGGGATCGGTGCTCGAGTTCAGTTTCGGTTGCGACTGCAAGGGACCTGCGGGATGTGCTGCCTTATCCGAAGACACGTCCACGTCATCTTGTGAGGTGGACGCTAATAGAGCGCTGAGCTCAGGTGTCATCTTGAAGATATTAGGAACGCGGATGTTGACCCCTTTGAACAATTAGCAACCGCATTCTCCCTATCCGCATCCGACACTCACCAGTCTCACACAAGCCCAAGAAAGCGTCCCACATGAACGGGTTCAACTTGAGCGCGTCGACATAGCATTCAACAGCCGCATTGAGTTCATTGTGCGCATAGAACAGCTTGCCCTGTAGACATAACACCGCTGCCGCATCGGGTAGGTGTTGCCTGCGCGTTTCACTGTGTTTTCCTGGAACGGCGAAAAGAAAATGTCAGCTGTGATCAGCCTAAAATGATAGTCGCGTCCATTTGCGACAAGCGGAATACTATAGAGAAATGCTGAACAAAGCGTACCCCAATGGTTCTTTGTGGACCAGAGTCCTTTGCTTCGTTCCAACGCCGTGATGCCTTCAGGATATTTTCCCAGGTCCAAGCACGCCTGGGCGAACACATACGCGCATCCCAGATGAGTGCCTCGCCATCCAAAATTCTTGCTGTAATCGTATGCTGCTTTCACTTGACCGCTCTGGAGATGGCACAAGGCGAGTAAATATGAAGATTCCGCTGCTCGGGGTTCGTAGGCGTGCAACCGACCGGCAAGGAAAAGCGCATTACGGACGAGGTTGTTATCAAGATGGTAATATATTAATTGCCTAAGTTGGCTCGATATATGTGCGGTGGAGGGAGACATGTTGAGGTGTGGGATTCATTCAAGGAGGAGGGAGAGAAGGAGGGGGGGCGATATCACAGAGGCGCTGCAGGAGAGGAGGAGGCGGTATTGACGTTCGTATTGGGAACGGCGCGAAGGGAGCTTGCGGAATCAAGGAACAGGGTGAGCGACAAGTGAGGCCGTTAATCT